GCCTGGAGACCAGGGTGCCAGATGCCAGCCTGGAGAAAAGGAAGGGGGGCCCCCCACGGAAACAGTCCCGCCTGTCGGGAAAGGCGCACAGTGGCTTTGGGCCCCGATCCCCGGCTTCCCCTCCAGACCCTCTCCCTTGCTTTTCGGGAAAGGGGGTCGATTAGGGATCATCTTTCTCCCCCCCCCCCCCCCAGGTTTTCTTGGAACCGTTAAGCCGGCAGGTCTTAAAAGAAAAAGGGAACGCTGCGTACAGTACGAAAAATTAGGCTCCTGGACAAAGACCAAACGTGATTTCTAAGAGGTCTGAATGTGGGCAGTTCGGGGTCGGGGCGAGGGAGGACTTACAGAATTCGGAAGAGAATTTCGAGGGCAGGAGGCAGGTTTCGCTGGCCCTGGAATAGAGGTGGAAGGCCCGGGGCGCTCTCTCTCTCTCTCTTTTGCTCTCTCTCTCTCTTTCTCTCTCTCTTTTCTTCTTCGACTTCATCTTCCTCCTCCTCCTCCTCCTCCTCTTCTTCTTCTTCTTCGCCTCCTCCTCCTCCTCTTCCTCCTGTCTGTCGTCTGTCAGTGTCTTCCTCGACCTTCCCAGCTCCCTTTCGGTTCCAGCGGCGCTCAGCAGTTCGCTCCCAAAAGCGTTTTTCCCCCTCTCTTTTTTCCCCCCTTTCCGGGGGCTCTGCATTAGCCAATTCCATTGACAGTTTTCAGCCAGCAGCTGCAGTCATTAAAAGGCATTTACACCCTGGCCTCCTTCGCACAAAGATGGAGCGCCAACAATTATCTGCTTGTACTTTAAGGACATGAGAATGTGTCCCTAACAGGCTTACAGGGGAGATGGAGAGCATCGCCGCACCGCTAGGCAACCCCCCAACTTTTGTCCTCGACACAACAATGCCTAAAGGTTGTCTTTGGTTTCTCCCCGGACAGTGCCTACAGAGGCCTGGCATCCCAGAAATATGTCCGAAATCACCCGGCAGCCCTTTGGGAGACGGAGAGGTCAAGAGACCAAGATGGGAAAAGGTGTGCGGCTTCGGGGATGGGCGGGTGCGTTAAAAATGGACCCTTGTAACCTGTTTTAAGCTGGGAAAACGCTCAAGTCAGGCTGTGGCAACGCGAAGCAAGCTTGGTGCTGCCCATTCATTTACTGTGATACGGCCGGGCTAGGGTGGGCCAATCCTCCTTCGTGGGATGATGAGGGAGACAGAAAAGCCAGGTTTAGTAGCATCTTTCGACTAAAGGGGATGCCGCTGCAGAAAAGAGTAATAAGCCCAACTTCGACGTCGTTTATCCATGTATTTGAAACGCTTCCGACTTCTACTTAGTTGTCAAAGGGACGCATGTCGTTTTGAGTCCCCCTGTCCTCTGAAGTCCAAGTCAAGCCCACGCAGATGCTATTGAAAAAGTGCTGACACTCTGACAAACCCCCGCTCAGATCCCAAGGCCTGGAGCCTCCCCCCCCCCCCGCCTTTCCTTTACATGGAAGAAAAGATAAAAACATTTCTGAATTTTGGAAGAGGTCAGAACTGTTCATATGGCCCGGACTGGAGGATCCACAACACCAGGACAACTCCCGAGGCCGTTGCGGAGAGAGTAGGAATGCCGCTCGGAGACTTGACTTTTTCTTGTAACTAGCAAGGTGTGTATGAACACACACACACACATACACACACACACAGAGAGAAAGAGAGAGCCACACACGTGCATTCTTCAGATAAGCCGACTGAAACATTAAGGGACCGACCGAGGCAGGTGTCCTCTTCCCCCCCCCCGGGGGGGACCCTGTATTGTTCATCCTTTTGCCCTGGGCGAAACTGAAAGTTTGCTCCGCCTCCCCAACCTTTGGTTAAACACTTTCGGGGGACAATCCCAGCTTTTCATAACTCGACAAAATCTCTCTGTTCTGCAGTTAAATGGAAACCTGATACCGGGACAGGGACAAGAGGGCTGGGTGAGAAGATATCAACCGCCACCCGCCTCTTCCTAACCCGCCGCCCGGACTAGTTTGTTAACAGTAGTGTTAAAGTACATCAGTAAAACTTAAGGGCTGTTTTCCTTGGGAATATGAGCCCCTGTTGACAGTTGGTGGAAGAGTGACGAACGCCTAATCTAGTCAGCAGGATCTTCCAGTCCAGTAGCTCTTCCAACTGGACTTATTCATCTGCCACTTGGCATTTATTTCAGAGAAGCTGCTGGGTGAAAAGATCCCAGCCAGTTTGGGTGTCCGGCTAAGGCCCCTACCTCCGCCCCCCCCCCCTCTGTCTCTCTCTCTCTCTGTGTGTGTGTGTCTCTCTCTTGCTCTCTCCTTGGCAGCATTTCGAATTATGATGATTATGTATCTTTCAAATAGGCCAAGTCACGCGACGTTTTCCCATTTTAATTGTACATAACTGTCCCCGCTTCTTCCCTCCTCCTCCTTTTCTGCCTTCCTAGGCAGTTTGGACTCTCACCACCCCCTTCTCCTCTTCCCTGTCGCTCTTCTAGATCTGCATCGGAATGCAGAGCAAAGTTGTTGGGTGTTTTTTTTTTTCCCTTCAAGTTTTGAATTCCTCCATGATTTTTTTTTCTACTTCTAGAAAGGCGGCTTAGGATAATTATTTCAGCTTTATTGAGGGCAGATTAGGAGAAGTCTGGATGCTGCGTTTCAATACGCGTTCTACATGCCTGGACAATGTCCCTATTGTTTGCTACTGTGGGTGAACCCATTCAAAATATACACTTTTTAACACCAACCAAAGTCCTGTCTAAATATACACAGTAAGGATGGAAAGACATCCATGACCCGTACAAATCTCTGTAAATCACACTTCCATCGGCCGCCGAAACGAAACAAAGGAGTTACCAGCTCAAGATGCCGATTAAAATCGCCTTAAAAACAACGCACCTAAGGATAAATGGAGGCGGACGGCAACCACAGAAGGCCGGCTTAGCTGTTGGGAATGTCAAGAGTTCAGCCATTTGGTTTCACCTATATATTTGTATACGCATTGCTCGCGGTCACACACGCAAATACAGCATGCACGGATAAATATGAAGATTAAAAAAAAATATTTTCATGAAGCATTTTACTGCTCTTCTGGGTTTGTTTTTTTTTTTAAAAAAAATACTGGGAACTAAAGGGAACACGAATCCCAAAGTTAACAGTTGGGAGGCGCGATAAAAATGCCTAGACACCATCCAGAAAGTTTACAAAAGAGCTAAGAAGAGAGTCTATGAGAGCAGAGCTGGAAAGGGAGGAAAGAATAAGCTGCAGGGGAATCAAAGCTAGGATCCGAAGGCGCCATTCAGCAACCACCCCCACCGTAGGGTTTTACGGAAGAATTGTGTCTTGCTTTTCAGAGATACGACTGTTCCCAAAACTGAACCCGACCCAAACCGTGCAGAGGCTCTCGGCGCTTCTGGAGGCCAATTTGGGGCAGGTTGGCACTTCAGTCAAGTTCTGCCTAATGACCGGGGAGGGGGCCTCGCCCACGACCTCCAGGAATCCGGGGCTTTCCTTAACCTCACCGATTTTGCTCCGCATTTCCAAGCTAGGTTGCTCCGGAAAAAGAGCTTTCTGCTCCGAGAGCCCAGACTTGGGACAAAGTTTTTCTCTTGGAAGTTACCTCTGCAAAATCCCAGCGGAGGCGGGGGGGAGGGGGAGCAAAGGAGGGAAAGAAAAGATAGGAAGCTCCCGCTCTTCGCTCTCGAGCCTCGCACGCCCCCCCCCCATGCCCTTCCCCCCCCCCCCAGCCTGGGTTGCTCCCGGCGGGGTCAGCGGCCTGAGGATGGGCCTAATGATCTCATCTAGCTTTTCTTCCCCGGCGCTATTAGTGCTCAGATAGGCAGAATGAAGGGCAACTACGTGCAAATCATGTGTAAATCGTTTCCCTTCGGAGTCCTTTTATCCCCACTTGGCCCCGATCGTCTCCTTCTCCTTCTTCTCCTCCCCCCCCCACCCCTTTCCTTCCTTTTTCCTCTCTTCCCAAAGAGGGGAAGGGGCTCCCTTAAAAAGCCACGGTCAGCTTCGGAGTCTAATCCTGGATCTCGTTTCAGAGAAGTAGCAGCGTCTGCCCTTGTACATTTTATTGCCTTATTTATTTAGGGAAGTGGGGGAAGCGGGGGGGGGGAGAGACATGCCGGTGGAAAGGGGGAGACGCCTCACAAGAGAAGTGGAAGTGCTCAGATTAGGACTTGCCAAGATTAACACACCAACGCGCCCAAGCTTTCCTCCCCTCCCCTCTCCTCCCCTTGCCTTCCTCCTCCTCCTCCTCCTCCTCCGCCGCCGCCGTCCCTCCCTCTGCTTCCCGACTCCCCTCCTCCTCGCCTTTGGGCGCAGCGGTAAGAGCCCTTTTTCTTACGTAGTCCCCGATGATTGGCAAGGCTGACAGTGATTGGCAGGGCGCTGCTATGGCGACGCCAAACGACACCCGCCAGGCCAATAGAAAAGCGAAACAAAATGCTTCGGCGCTGCACTCACGGTGGATTTAGGAGAGATATTATGAGGCTGTTGTCATTAGGGCGATCGCGGCCGAATCACTGAATCTGTTTTCGCCGCGGCGGCGGCGGCGGCCGCTCTGGCTCTGGAGGTGTGTGCGTGTGCGTGTGTAGTGCGTGTTCCTGTGGGTGTCTAAGCGAGCAAGCCGGCGCGCAGATGCCCGCCTGTACGCGGCTGAGGGTGTGTGAGTGCGAGTGTCCTGCGTGCGTGTGAAAGGCGGTGGGTGGGAGTGAGTGTGTACGGGCGGGCGGGGGGGAGTGTGTGTGTGCATACGTGTGTGTGTGCATGTCTGGGTTCGGATGAGGGTCTCTATGCAGGTGTGGATGCGCGTGGGGTGCGTGAGCCCCCTGTCCCTCCCCTCTTTCTCCTCTTTTTCATTCCCGCCGTCTGCCTCTCGCCTGCCTTTCTTTTCGCCTTGATCCCGACGCCTTCCTCTCGTCCTCCTCCTCTCCTTCCTTCCTTCCTTCTCCCTCTTCTGCCTCGCCCGGTCTCTCTCTTTCGAGCCCCTCCCCCGTCCGCCAGGCTGGGTCCCATGGTGTTCCGATCCCCTTTAGAGCTTTATCCCACCCATTTCTTTCTGCCAAACTTCCCCAGCGACCCGCACCACCACCACCGCTCGCTTCTTCTGGCCACTGGTGGCAGCAGCAGCGGCAGCAGCAGCAGCGCCGGAGCTGGAGGCGGCGGCGGCGGTGGCAGCGGCGGCGCCGCCACCGGGTGCAGCGCCGGAGCGGCCGGTGGCGGTGGCGGCGGCGCGGGAGGAGGAGGAGGAGGAGGAGGAGGCGCCTCGCGGGGAGCCCCGGAAGAGCCGTCCATGTTCCAGCTGCCCACGCTCAACTTCTCCCCGGAGCAAGTGGCCAGTGTCTGCGAGACGCTGGAGGAGACGGGGGACATCGAGAGGCTCGGCCGGTTCTTGTGGTCCTTGCCGGTAGCGCCCGGAGCGTGCGAAGCCATCAACAAGCACGAGTCCATCCTGCGGGCCCGAGCGGTGGTGGCCTTCCACACGGGCAACTTCCGAGACCTTTACCACATCCTGGAGAACCACAAGTTCACCAAGGAGTCTCACGGCAAGCTGCAGGCCATGTGGCTGGAGGCGCACTACCAGGAAGCCGAGAAGCTGCGCGGACGCCCCTTGGGGCCGGTCGACAAGTACCGAGTCCGCAAGAAGTTTCCCCTGCCGCGCACCATCTGGGACGGCGAGCAGAAGACCCACTGCTTCAAGGAACGGACTCGCAGCCTCCTGCGGGAATGGTACCT